CCCGACTCCGTATCCGACGCCTTACCCGACGCCCTACCCGACGCCCCACCCAACGCCCTATCCGACGCCCTACCCGACGCCCTATCCGACGGCGTACCCGACGCCCTACCCCACGCCCTACCCGACACCTTATCCGACGTCCTTTCCGACGGCCTACCCGACGCCTTTCCCGACGCCCTTCCCAACGGCCTTCCCGACGCCCTTCCCGACGCCCTTCCCGACGGCATTCCCCACGCCCAGCCCGACGCCCAGCCCGACGTAAATCCTCCTGGCTGGCCGACTGCCGCCAGCGCCGTTTCCATCGAGCTCCGAAGGGCGGGTGGAGCCGTTGCGGGCCGTGGCTGCCACCGTCGATCCCCACTTGCAAAAACGTTCTTGGTCGCGGTTGATTTGATGGCCAAGGCAAGCATGTTTTGGTGAACATCCCTCGCGAAGACAGCGGCGCATTGCTTCGTGGTCGTTGAGGCCGGCTGCGCTCCGATTGGGTGGGCCATGTGGCAAGATTGATATGTACTTCCAAGAAATGGAAATGTCACAGGCGCGCCTGGGCAGAGGTAAAACAGGCTGGAGGTTATCACTACGTCGCGTCGCAGCGTGCCGTCGGGACTCCAGAGTGGGTTGCTTTTGGTAAGCTCGAGATGAAAGTCGTCCATGGAAGCACGCAAAGTGGTCTCCCATACTTGAACTTCTACGCCAAGCATTTAGGGCGAACAGGGTTTGCAGTCGGAGGCCTCCTGGGAGAAGACGATCACGCCGACGCAACCATTCCTATGGCAGAGTGTAAAGGGCACGTATCCCTTTGAGGGTTCAAGTCGGCAGCAGCTTCGCCGTAGCACTGTAGCCAGCTTCGAAGGGCAGCGGTGCACTTTTGTTCCTATGCAAGAAAAAACTGGCAAACTGACTCTAGGACCCCTCTGCACGATCCCAGAGGCATCGGACACGGGCCAAGAGCATTCCAGGACGCCCAAGGTGGCTCCAAGTAGCCCCAGGGGCCCCCAAGACGCTTCAAGACGCTCCCAGAGGGCCCCCCAGGGGGGCCCGCGAGGGGCAAACCTTTGATTATCCATCGTTGCTTGTAAGATGTTTTTTTCCCAACCATCCTGTGGTGTTGGGTCCTCGTTTTGAAGAGACGGTGCCCCGCGTCTCCTTCCTCCTCCTCTCCTCCTCCGCCTCCTCTCCCCTCCTATCATCCTCATCGTCATCATCATCATCATCATCATCATCATCATCATCATCATCATCATCATCATCATCATCATCATCATCATCATCATCATCATCATCATCATCATCATCATCATCATCATCATCATCATCATCATCATCATCATCAACACCCAATTCGGCACACCCCTCACACGTTTCGTGGCTCCATAGGGAGCTCCACCGAAGGCCCCAGTGCCCGCGGCCGCATGCGTCCCCCACACCCATTTCGGCACACCCCTCACACTTTTCGTGGCTCCATAGGGAGCTCCACCGAAGGCCCCAGTGCCCGCGGCCGCATGCGTCACCCACACCCATTTCGGCACACCCCTCACACGTTTCGGGGGGGGAATGGGAGAAGGCTGCCATAGGGACTCCATCCGAAGGCCCCCAGTGCCCGCGGCCGCTGCGTCACCCACACCCCAATTCGGCACACCCCTCACACGTTTCGTGGCTCCATAGGGAGCTCCACCGAAGGCCCCAGTGGCCGCGGCCGCATGCGTCACCCAAACCCATTTCGGCACACCCCTCACACGTTTCGTGGCTCCATAGGGAGCTCCACCGAAGGCCCCAGTGCCCGCGGCCGCATGCGTCCCCAACACCCATTTCGGCACACCCCTCACACGTTTCGTGGCTCCATAGGGAGCTCCACCGAAGGCCCCAGTGCCCGCGGCCGCATGCGTCACCCACACCCATGTCGGCACACCCCTCACACGTTTCGTGGCTCCATAGTGAGCTCCACCGAAGGCCCCAGTGCCCGCGGCCGCATGCGTCACCCACACCCATTTCGGCACACCCCTCACACGTTTCGAGGCTCCATAGGGAGCTCCACCGAAGGCCCCAGTGCCCGCGGCCGCATGCGTCACCCACACCCATTTCGGCACACCCCTCACACGTTTCGTGGCTCCATAGGGAGCTCCACCGAAGGCCCCAGTGCCCCGCGGCCGCATGCGCCACACCCATTTCGGCACACCCCTCACACGTTTCGTGGCTCCATAGGGAGCTCCACCGAAGGCCCCAGTGCCCGCGCCCGCATGCGTCACCCACACCCATTTCGGCACACCCCTCACACGTTTCGTGGCTCCATAGGGAGCTCCACCGAAGGCCCCAGTGCCCGCGCCGCATGCGTCACCCACACCCATTTCGGCACACCCCTCACACGTTTCGTGGCTCCATAGGGAGCTCCACCGAAGGCCCCAGTGCCCGCGGCCGCATGCGTCACCCACACCCATTTCGGCACACCCCTCACACGTTTCGTGGCTCCATAGGGAGCTCCACCGAAGGCCCCAGTGGCCGCGGCCGCATGCGTCACCCACACCCATTTCGGCACACCCCTCACACGTTTCGTGGCTCCATAGGGAGCTCCACCGAAGGCCCCAGTGCCCGCCGCCCGCATGCGTCACCCCCACCCATTTCGGCACACCCCCGCATTTCTCGCACGGCAGGGTCATCACCGCGGTGGCGTGCCAGGGGCGCACCATGCGCGAAGGCGACGGGGCGGGGGAACGGCGCTCCGGGGGCGGCCAGACCTCCGGGGCGCGAGCAGTCCGCGGCCAGACCATCTCTCGGTCCTGTGGACTCTCGCCCTGGGCCGTCGGCTGCCCGGCGCGCTGCTCCCTCGGTCGACGTCGCCCAGGCGTGATCCTGGATTGCGGCCGCCACGAGGTAGGGAACGGCAAGAAGGAGGACGACGACTGGTGGCTGGAGCTCTACGTGCTGCTCTCGCGCGCCACGCGCCACGAGGACCTCCTGCTCATGCGGGCGCCGCGCATCGAGTTCTTCCTGGCAGGGCCGCCGCAGGGCTTGCGGAAGCAGCTGGAGCAGTTTGCGGCGCGCACGAAGCGGTGCAGGAGGGAAGCGACGGCCCTCGCCAGGGAGCTCGGCTTCACCGAGTTCATCCGCGAGGCCTGACCTGAGGAGCGTCTCCCCCGAGCCGCGCCTTCTCTCGACTGCCCGACTAATTGTTTGGCCTCGCGCCGCGGACGACCCGCGCGCGTCGCTGGGACCCTCTCGGGGCGACCAGCGCGCGTCGCGGGAACTCCGCGCTGCGGGGGGCCCGGCGCCTCGTTCGCCCGTCGTCGCTCTGCCCAGCGGTCAGAGACTTGCCCGCTATCAGCCAGCCAGTTAGCTAGTCTGCTCTCTCTGCTTCGCGCAGCGGACGACCCGCGCGCGTCGCTGGGACCCCGCCCGGGGCGACCAGCGCGCGTCGCGGGGACTCCGCGCTGCGCTGCGCCCGCAGCCTTGGATTTTGGAGTGCGCGGGCAAAGAGGAAGGAAAAGAAGAGCCGAAAGCGGGCGCGATCCTCGCAAGAGGCGTGCCGACATGGGCGTCGCGACGTGCGGACGCTGCCGTCGGGGTTCCCGCGGAAGCTGCCTGCGGCGGCCACGCCCAGTGTCACGTGTGTTCGGACAGGCATGCTCGACACTTACACTAGGCGGTTCCATGATCGCACTCATGCAAATATATTCACTCGCGCGCAGACCCATTCATACTCAGATTCCTTCGCGCTCTGACTCACCCGCGTTCTTTTTCTCGTAATCAGATCTATCGTATTCCTTTGCGTTGTGTGCCCCGCCACATTTCGGCGCACCCCTCATGCGGGTCGTGGCCCCATAGGGAGCGTCACCAAAGAAGATATTCACAATTGCGATACTCACAGCTGCATATGGTTGGGTCCTTCGCCAGGATAATTTCCCGCCTGCTCGGCCCACGAACCTTCCAAGGCGGTCCAGGAGGGTTCAACGTCTATCCCAGACTGCTTCAGAGCCCCCCCCCAGCGGCCCGCGATCCTTCCCCTCCAGAGCTGCTTTCCAGAGGCTAGGGGCGCCCGCTATAGTGATGGTCCGCGTGGGACGTACCTGCGCTGGGCATCCCAGGAGGCCACGAAACTGGCTGCGCAGATCGCAAGCCCCCCAGGGGGCGGCGAGCTACAGAGGTATCCGCGTGGGACGTACCTCCGCTGGGCCTCTCAGCAGCCCACGAAAGTGGCGACAGTTGCGCAGATCGCAAGCCCCCCCAGGGGCAGCCACCCAGGGCACCGCGAGCTGTAGTGGTGGTCCGCTTGGGACGTACCTCCGCTGGGAATCCCAGGAGGCCACGAGACTGGGGACAGTTGCGCAGATCGCAAGCCCCCCAGGGGGCGGCGAGGTACTGAGGTGACCCGCGTGGGACGTACCTCCGCTGGGCCTCCCAGGAGCCCACGAAAGTGGCGCCTTGCGCGGATCGCAGACGGCACGAGAGAAGAGGAGAGGGGAACACAGGAACCAGGAGAGACGGCGGGGGGGAGGAGAGGGGAGGAGGAGGAAGGACGAGGCGACCACTGCTCTATTCAAAACGAGAACCCAACACAGGAGGCAGACTGACTCCAGGACCCCTCTGCACGATTCCAGAGGCACCGGACACGGGCCAAGAGCATTCCAGGACGGCCCAAGGTGGCTCCAACTAGCCCCAGGGGCCCCCAAGGCGCTTCAAGGCGCTCCCAGAGGGCCCCCCAGGGGGGCCCGCGAGGGGCAAACCTTTGATGTTCCATCGTTGTTTGTAAGATGTTTGGTTTCCCGCCTGCTCGGCCCACGAACCTTCCAAGGCGGTCCAAGAGGGTCCAACGTCTGTCCCAGACTGCTTCAGAGCTCCCCCCAGCGGCCCGCGATCCTTCCCCTCCAGAGCTGCTGCCCAGAGGCCAGGGGCGCCCACGGCGGGCAACGCGGCTACTCCGTAGCCAGCTTGGCTCAAACATCGAACTTTTGTGTTGACTTGTGCACGCGCGCAACCGTCTGGTCCTCTCGAACTCACGTTACTTCCTCTCGTCCAGTTTGCTCGGATGGCGGCGTCTGGGATGGTCTGGTCTCTCGTGCTTCTCGGGCTGCCAGGCGCGTCCTGCATGCAGCTGGCGACGAGCAGCTGGCGCGAGCATCTGGCCGCCAACACGACGTCCGCGCAGTCGAAGCGGGCGGAGTGCAGCGCGTGGCAGGTGGGTCAAGGCTGCTGCACGCCACTGGGAGACACCGCGTCTTCGTGGTCGTTCGCTTCGCATGGCGCGCATGGCACTTGGTCAAGCACCCCAGCGTTCATCCGCTTCGACTTCCAGGACGATACGATCTGTGGTGGCGTGGCGAATGCCAGGCAACACGGGGACGCAGTTCTCACTTTGAACGACGCTTCGCCCATCGACCTGACCCTTTCGATGACGGGCGTGGCGGAGGCCCAGTACGAGAGATTCCAGCTGTACGTGGACGACGTCCTGCGCGTCACGGTGCAAGCTTCAAACGGCCACGGAGGCAGCGCATGCTATGTCAGCACTTGCATCATGTGCGATGTCAACATGCCTTCGCAGACGTTCTCGCTTTCAGCCGGGCCGCACACAATCAGAGTCGTGGTTGATTCTCTCGACGGTCTGTACCACAATGACGCCTTCTTCCAGATCTCATTCGGCAAAAGCAGCCCGACGTGTGGCGGGTGCACTTGCTCGGCGTCGACGCCCAGCCCGACGCCCTTCACGACCCCGTATCCGACGCCTTACCCGACGCCCTACCCGACGCCCCACCCGACGCCCTATCCGACGCCCTACCCGACGCCCTATCCGACGGCGTACCCGACGCCCTACCCCACGCCCTACCCGACACCTCATCCGACGTCCTTTCCGACGCCCTACCCGACGCCCTTCCCGACGCCCTTCCCAACGGCCTTCCCAACGGCCTTCCCGACGCCCTTCCCGACGCCCTACCCGACGCCCTTTCCGACGCCCTTCCCAACGGCCTTCCCGACGCCCTTCCCGACGCCCTTCCCGACGGCATTCCCCACGCCCAGCCCGACGCCCAGCCCGACGTATCCTCCTGGCTGGCCGACGCCGCATCCGACGTTTCCTTCCGGAGCTCCCATGGCGGGTGGAGCCGGCGGTGCGGCTGCCACTGGCGATCCCCACCTGCAAAACGTTCTTGGTCAGCGGTTCGATTTGATGAAGCCGGGCAAGCATATTCTGGTGAACATCCCTCGCGGAAGACAGACGCGCGCATTGCTTCGCGTTGAGGCCGATGCACGCCAATTGGGTGGACAATGTGCAGATATGTACTTCCAAGAATTGAATGTTACAGGGGCCTGGGCAGAGGTAAAACAGGCTGGAGGTTATCACTACGTCGCGTCGCAGCGTGCCGTCGGGACTCCAGAGTGGGTTGCTTTTGGTAAGCTCGAGATGAAAGTCGTCCATGGAAGCACGCAAAGTGGTCTCCCATACTTGAACTTCTACGCCAAGCATTTAGGGCGAACAGGGTTTGCAGTCGGAGGCCTCCTGGGAGAAGACGATCACGCCGACGCAACCATTCCTATGGCAGAGTGTAAAGGGCACGTATCCCTTTGAGGGTTCAAGTCGGCAGCAGCTTCGCTGTAGCACTGTAGCCAGCTTCGAAGGGCAGCGGTGCACTTTTGTTCCTATGCAAGAAAAAACTGGCAAACTGACTCCAGGACCCCTCTGCACGATCCCAGAGGCATCGGACACGGGCCAAGAGCATTCCAGGACGCCCAAGGTGGCTCCAACTAGCCCCAGGGGCCCCCAAGGCGCTTCAAGGCGCTCCCAGAGGGCCCCCCAGGGGGGCCCGCGAGGGGCAACCCTTTGATTATCCATCGTTGTTTGTAAGATGTTTGTCTTCCCGCCTGCTCGGCCCACGAACCTTCTAAGGCGGTCCAAGAGGGGGTCCAACGTCTATCCCAGACTGCTTCAGAGCCCCCCCCAGCGGCCCGCGATCCTTCCCCTCCAGAGCTGCTTTCCAGAGGCTAGGGGCGCCCGCTATAGTGGTGGTCCGCGTGGGACGTACCTGCGCTGGGCATCCCAGGAGGCCACGAAACTGGCTGCGCAGATCGCGAGGTACCGAGGTGATCCGCGTGGGACGTACCTCCGCTGGGCCTCTCAGCAGCCCACGAAAGTGGCGACAGTTGCGCAGATCGCAAGCCCCCCCCAGGGGCAGCCACCCAGGACACCGCGAGCTAAGGGCACCGCGAGCTATAGTGGTGGTCCGCTTGGAACGTACCTCCGCTGGGCATCCCAGGAGGCCACGAGACTGGGGACAGTTGCGCAGATCGCAAGCCCCCCGGGGGGCGGCGAGGTACTGAGTTGACCCGCGTGGGACGTACCTCCGCTGGGCCTCCCAGGAGCCCACGAAAGTGGCGCCTTGCGCGGATCGCAGACGGCACGAGAGAAGAGGAGAGGGGAACACAGGAACCAGGAGAGACGGCGGGGGGGAGGAGAGGGGAGGAGGAGGAAGGACGAGGCGACCACTGCTCTATTCAAAACGAGAACCCAACACAGGAGGCAGACTGACTCCAGGACCCCTCTGCACGATCCCAGAGGCACCAGACACGGGCCAAGAGCATTGCAGGACGGCCCAAGGTGGCTCCAACTAGCCCCAGGGGCCCCCAAGGCGCTTCAAGGCGCTCCCAGAGGGCCCCCCAGGGGAGCCCGCGAGGGGCAAACCTTTGATGTTCCATCGTTATTTATAAGATGTTTGAACCTTCCAAGGCGGTCCAAGAGGGTCCAACGTCTATCCCAGACTGCTTCAGAGCTCCCCCCAGCGGCCCGCCCCTTCCCCTCCAGAGCTGCTGCCCAGAGGCCAGGGGCGCCCACGGCGGGCAACGCGGCTCCTCCGTAGCCAGCTTGGCACACACATCGAGCTTTATTATTTGGCTTACGCCGCACCGCCGACCCCTTGGGACTCCTGGTAGGTCTCTCGGGGGCCTCCTGGCAGCACTTTGAGGCCTTTGGGGGGCCGTTTTTGGGCCTCTGGTGGGCCTCTTGGAGCCTTTTGGGTGCCTCTTGGGAGCCTCTGGCGGCCTCTTGGGGCACTCTTGGGGCCCCCTGGGGCTCCTGGGGGCGGACAGCTAGATGTTTTGAATTTTTGGTCGCCCTCTGGGGCCCCTCTTGGTGCCGTCTTGGAGCCCTCTTGGGCCGTCTTGGGGACCTCTTGGGCCGTCTTGGGGCTATCTTGGGCCGTCTTGGGGCCTTCTCGGGGGCCTCTTGGGCCGTCTTGGGGCTGTCTTCGGGGCCTCTTGGGCCGTCTTGGAACGTCGGGAAGCCGAAAAGGCGAAAAGGCACAAAACACTGAAAAACACAATGGAAACTCAACAATTTTAGCCTCTCGGGGCTCTCTTGGGAGGCTTGTTTGGGACCTCTGGGGCCGTCTTGGAGGCCTCTTGGCCCGTCTTGGGGCCATCTTGGGCGTCTTGGAGCGCTCGTTTAGCGTCCCGGGGCCCTCGTGGGCCGTCTTGGAACCCCTCTTGGGGCCTTCTTGGCCCATCTTTAAGCCCTCTTGGGCCCAGAAGAGCCCGTTACGCGCTCGTCGGGGGCACCCCTCCCCCCCCCCCCCCAAATCGACCGGACCAGGCTCCCGGGGGAGGGGTTTGGGGAGGGGGGAGCATCTCACACGCCGATGATCCCCAACGGGTCGGCGGATTATCACCATTATTATTACTACTACTACTACTACTACTACTACTACTACTACTACTACTACTACTACTACTACGACTACGACTACGACTACGACTACGACTACGACTACTACGACTACTACTACTACTACTACTACTACTACTACTACTACTACTACACTACTACTACTACTACTACTACTACTACTACTACTACTACTACTACTACTACTACTACTACTACTACTACTACCAACGTAGCCATGTTGGCTCAAGCCGCCCTCTCGCCTATCGTCTTGGGTCCCCGCGGGAGGGCAGGAGCGGCGCTGGGCATGGTTGCGGACGGTGGCCGAACTGCCCCTGCGGCAGCTGAACCGCCCGCGCAGGACGCTCGGGGTCTCCCCGGCGGCGCGGGCGGCAACTGACGGGAAGTTGGCCGCCGCGCTCGCGCGCATCTCCCAGCTGGAGGAGAAGCTCGCGCGCGCCGAGGCGCGGCGTGAGGCGGCGGCGGCGCGCGCCCGTCTGGCGGACCCCCTCGGCGGAGACGCCGCCGCGGCGCCCAGCCAGTTCCTGCTCGACGAGCCGGCCTCGCGCATGGCGCTCGCGGTCCGGGTGCTGATGAACGTCCTCGCGGGGCCGCGTGTGGCGGGCGCGGCGGCGGACGTCGGCGCCCCTTCGGGCGGCGGCGCTGGCGGCGGCGGGCTGCGGGCCGGCGGGCCGGCGGCGGCCCAGGCGCGGGGGGCCGCGCAGCGCTGCCAACCCCGCCCGGCGGGCGCGCGCCGCGGCTGGAGGCCGCCAGGCGGAATGCAGGGTTGCATTGCCGTGCTCGGCGAGGCGCTTCGATCGCGAGGATCCGGCGCTCGTCTGTTAACAGGCTGCAGCGCGGGGCGAGGCGGCGGACAGGGCGGGGCGCGGCTCGCCCCTCGGCGCCTTCGGTCCCGCGCCGAGAACGTGCTGCGCGCGCGGCTGCTGACGCGGCGCCAGTCGACTGGGCCGTGGCGCGCAGGCGCGGCTGCAGCCTCCCAGCAGGCGCCGTCTCCCAGCGGTGCGCAACGCGGAGGAGGTCCCTGTCCTTCCCTTCGTGTCTGGCGCGCGTTGGTGGCCAGCGGAGGCGGGGCACGCCGATGGCGAGCTGGGCGCGACGGTGGACGCCGAGGTGCTCGGAAATGGCATCGTCGCGGAGGTGGTCGAGGAGTCGGATGAGAACGTCGGTGGCGACGACGGCAGGCAGGAGCGCGCCTCCGCGGCCCCCCCCCCCCCCCATGCGGGCTCGCGGAAGAGCTCGACGAGGAGGTGATGCAGGAGGAGTGGAAGGACGCGGCGGTCAAGGCCGCTGGCGCAGACCCCAGGGGGCGCGTTCGGAGCCGTGGGGGCTTGGGATCGTTTCCCATCCGCGCTGCTGACGCGGCGGCCGAGGCCACAGGCGCCGACCCCAGGGGGCGCGTTGGGAGCCCTGGGGGCTTGGGAACGTTTCCCATCCGCACTGCTATAGCGGGGAATGCTGTACAGGAGGGCGGGGAGGACGGCGGCGACGTCGAGCAGGAGGGCGGGGCGTGCCAGCCCCGGGCCTTCTTCGTCGGCGACGTCGTGGAGAACGTGGCCGACCGCGAGCGCGGCGTGCTCGCTCATGCTGCGCGGCGCCGCCTGCGCGCGCTGCAGAGGCAGGTGGGGGGGGCATGGCGCGGCGACCGACGACCGCGACGTGATTAGGCCAGGAAGGCAAATGGCGGGCGACGCATGTGGCCACCACCACTGGAGCCTTGAATGGAGATCCCTATGGGGCCACGAAGGGCTGTAGTGGGTGTGGCGGACGCATGTGGCCACCCCCACTGGGGTTTTCGGTGGAACTCCGTGTGGGGCCACGAAGCGCTGTACTCGGTGTGGCGGACGCATGTGGCCACCCCAATGGGGGCCTTGGGTGCGGCTCCCTCTGGGGCCACGAAACGCTGTACGGGTTGTGGCGGGCGCATGTGGACACCCCCACTGGGGCCTTGGGTGGGGTTCCCTCTGGGCCCACGAAGCACTGTATTGGGTGTGGCGGACGAGTGTGGCCACCCCCACTTGGTTTTTCGGCGGACCCCCCCATGGGGCCATGGGTGTGGCGGGCGCATGTGGCCACCCCCACTGGGGCCCTGACTGGGTATCCCTATGGGGCCACGAGGCGCTGTACTGGGTGTGGCGGACGCATGTGGCCACCCCCACAAGGGCCTTAGATGGAGCGCCCCATGGGACCACGAAGCGCTGTACTGATTGTGGCGGACGCATGTGGCCACCCCCACTGGGGCCTTGGGTGGGGCTCCTTCTGGGGCCACGAAACGCTGTAGTGGGTGTGGCGGACGCATGTGGCCACCCCCACTGGGGCCTTACGTGGGGCTCCCTTCGGGGCCACGAAACGCTGTAGTTGCTGTGGCGGGCGCGTGTGGCCACCCCCGCTGGGGCCTTGGGTGGGGCTCCCTATGGGGCCACGAGGCGCTGTATTCGGTGAGGCAGACGCATGTGGCCACCTCCAGTGGGGCCTTAGGTGGAGCTCCCTATGGGGCACCGGAGCGCTGTACTGGGTGTGGCGGACGCATGTGGCCACCCCCACTGGGGCCTTGAGTTGGGCTCATTATGGGCCCCGAAGCGCTGTACTGGGTGTGGCGGCATGGGTGTGGCGGACGTATGTCGCCACCCCCGCTGGGGCCTTAGGTGGAGCTCCCCATGGGACCACGAAGCCCTGTACTGAGTGTCGCGGACGCATGTGGCCACCCCCACTGGGGCCTTGGGTGGGGCTCGTTCTGGGGCCACGAAGCGACGTAGTGGGTGTGGCGGACGCATGTGGCCACCCCCAGTGGGGCCTTGGGTGGAGCTCCCTATGGGGCCACGATGCGCTGTAGTGGGTGTGGCGGACGCATGTGGCCACCCCCACTGGGGCCTTGGGTTGGGCTCCCTATGAGGCGACGAAACGCTGTACTTGGTCGGTGAAGCGCAGGGAAGAGGGGGGAGGGGGAGGAGGGAGGAGTGGGCAGCGGGAAAAGGGAGGAGACGCGGGGCGATGTCTCTTCAAAGGGAGGACCCAACACCACAGGATGATTGGTAACAAAGAGAACGAATGGTTTTCATTACAAATCTTCAACAATCCTGCCCGCGCGCAATTGCGGAAATTATGGGAAAACCATGCGGTTCCCATGATTTCGTGAAACAGCCCGCGATCTCGTCACGCCACGCGGTGCATTCGCGATGCTCTGTCATGCACCCAGGGCGCGAATCTTGTGTAACGAATTCCACGCGGGCGACATGCGCGCGCGTCGCCGCGAGCGCATGTCCAAATCCTTCAAGAGTCGTCGCCATTATCGGCACCGTCGCTGGCCTTGCCGCCGTCGTTGTCGCCATCATCGCGGGTCACCGCCCTCCTCATCATGTCGCCATGTCGCCACCGTGGTCGACGTCATCATGCCATCGCGCTCGCCCGAATCACCGACCTGCACCGAGGTGCCCGCGCGCTGGCCGCGTGGCCACCGCAGTCGTGGTCGCAAGAATTCTGCAATACCAGCTTGCCGATCTGCGCGTGCGATGCGCTTTCGCAGCCAAGTTTCCTGGGGCTTCCTGGTGTTTCCTGGACCTCCTGGGGTTTACTGGAGGGGCTCCTGTCGTTTCCTGGGCCTTCCTGTGGCCTCCTTGGGAAGGACTCGCCGGGGCCTCCTGGGGCCTCCTGGGGCTCCCTGGGGTGTCCTGAAACACCCTGGGGTTTCCTGGGGCCCTCTTGAAGCTCCTTGGGTCCTCTTGGGGCATCTTCGACTCGTGCTGAAATGCCCGCGCAAGCCTTTGGGACGAGCTGGGGAGCTCCCATCGGTAACCGCTGTCGCGGCCGCATCAGCTGTGCCAAACCAGCTCGCCGATGCGATCTCGGCTCCCGGTTGTACCCACACCGTTCCTGATGTTGTGGGAAGGCAGGCAGGTGGGCATGGGCCCCGGGCATGCCATGCATGTCTCGCTCGAGCTGATTAAATGGACTCCCATTCCTACTCCCGCTCCCACTCCCACTCCTACTTCTCCTCCTCATCATCCGTTCATTCTCCTTGTAGATATCTTCCCCCTGTCGCACCCCGAGGCCAGTTGTTTGGGCGTGCCGGGCGTTTCGCCTGAGACTTCCTCACCACTTATGATTCTGGAGCATCAGAAGTTGCAGCTGTTTCGCAGATGGAGAGCGGGACGTTTCATAATGTGGGTCTCGCCTTAGCGCCGCGCAGTTTCGTTTTCAAAATTATAGCCGGAGTGCAGTATCCCCAAACAGGGTTTTTAAACCCTTTGCGGTTTCCAAGGTCGACTGCGCGCCCGTCCAGTGCGGGATAGCATGGCACGTTAGAACATGCCTCCTCCTCCTCGTCCTCGTCCTCCCCCACCTCCTCTTCATCCCGAACGGCATCTCGGAGCCCAGAGTTGCGAGGATGTCTCCAGCGTAACGGGCTGGATCATCTCGCGCGCGGCATCTCGGACCCCAGAGTTGCGACGATGTCTCGAGCGAAACGTGCTGCAAGGAAGTCTCAGGCGAAACGGGCCGGGCCACCACCCTCGAGCGCGGCGTCTCAGAGCTCCGAGTTGCGGGGGCCTCCTCGGGCCTCCTGGGGAGGACCTGGGGCTTCCTGAAGCCTCTTGGGGCTCCCAGGGGGGGATATCTAACATGTGGCCGTCGGGGCCTCCCAAAATGGGGGGGGGCACAAGAGCAGGACAAATCAACGAATCGACACCGGATGTGTACTAACTTGACACGTTCTGATAGGGTGCCTCCTGGGAGCCTCCTGGGGATGTCCTGGGGACCCCTGGGGCCTGTCCTGGGCGTCCCGCGGCCTCCTGGAGCTCTCTGGGGCCTCCTGGGGCTCCCAGGGTCCCAGGGGGGATATGTAAGATATGGTCTTCTGGGCCCCCAGGCTGGACCACCTCTTGCGCGGCATCTAGGAGCTCAGAGTTAGGAGAATGTCTTATGCTAAACGGGCCGGACCGCCTTGCGCACGGTATCTCAGAGCTCAGAAATGCGAGGATGTCTCAGGCGAGACGGGCCGAACCACCTCGCGCAGGGCATCTCAGCTCATAGTTGCGAGGATGTCTCAGGCGAAACGGGCCGGACCACTTCTTGCGCTGCACCTCGGGGCCCAGAGTTGCGAGGATGTCTCAGGCGAGACGGGCGGACCACCTCGCAGGCGGCATCTCGGAGCCCAGAGTTGCGAGGATGTCTCAGGCGAAACGGGCCGGACCACCTCTCGCACGGCTTCTCGGGGCTCAAATTTCTGAGGATGTCTCAGGCGAAACGGGCCGAACCACCTCGCAAGCGTCATCTCGGAGCTTGGAGTTGCGAGGATGTCTCAGGCGAAACGGGCCGGACCACCTCTCGCACGGCAACTCGGAGCTCAGAGTTTCGAGGATGTCTCAAGCGAAACGGCCCGGACCACCTCTCGCGCGGCGTCCCGGAGCGCAACTTTTCGAGGATGTCTCAGGCGAAACGGCCAATCCCGGCCAACTCAGAAACGAGAGTTGTGAGGATGTCTAAAGCGAAACGGCCCGGACCATAAGATTTTTGTGAGGATGTCTCTGCTCCCCTTCCCCTCGGCCGGAGTTAGCTTCTATCACAACAGCACCCCGTTCAGCAAGCTGTTTGGGGAACAAACATCTGGACGTCGGATGTGTGGGGATGGCGGAAGGCAAGGCGCGCATGGCGGATGCTGAGGCGGCAAAATGACGGAGACCGTGACGGGGAGGCGGAGGCAGAGGCACAGCAGCGAAAGGCGAGAGGCGTGAGGAGGAAGGAGGGAAGAGGAGGCAGGCGGGAGGCAAGAGGAGGGAGGTGGGAGGAATGAGAGAGGTTTCAGGCAGAACGGGGACGAGATCGAGAGGTCCGCGGGCGCACGTCTCGAAACAAAAATCGTGACGTCGGATGTCTGCGGAGGGCGGAAGGCAGGGCGCGCATGGCGACATCTCGGAGCTTCGCATTGTGAGGATGGCTCGGGAGAAACGGGCTGGACCACCTCGCGTGCGGCATCTCGGAGCTCAGTATTGGAAGGATGCCCCAAGCGAAACGGGCCGTTCTACCTCTCGCTTCGCGTTGAGCCCTCTCATGCAACTCCATTCCTCATCCCTCCTCCTCCTCCTCCTCCCCCTCCTCCTCCCCCTCCTCCTCCTCCTCCTCCTCCTCCTGCCTGCTCCCTCCTCCTCCTCCTCCTAAAATGAGTATAAAAATCCTGTTTGGGGAACCCTGTCTCGGAGCGCAGAGTTGCGAGGACGTCCCAGGTCGCATCTGGTCGACGAGTAAGCTGTCGGGTCGGCACTCTGAGAGGCTACACCGCCATGCTGTGAATTCAGAAGCAACTTTAAGAGGAAGCGGGGGGGGGGGGCGCGGACGCGGGGGGGCATGTCGTGATGGTTCCCCCGGGGATGATATCGAGAGTTACGCGGCGCACGTCTCAAAAGAAAAATCGTGACGTCGGATGTTTGGGGAGGGCGGAAGGCAGTGCGCGCATGACGGATGCTGAGGCGGCAGAAACGACGACGGCGGGGACGGGGAGACGGAGGCAAAGGCGCAGCAGCGGGAGGCGGGAGGCGGGAGGAGGGAAGAGGGAAGAGGAGCCAGGCGGGAAGTGGGAAGAGGGAGGCGGGAGAAGGAATGAGAGAGGTTGTGATTGGAGCCCTTGTGCTACGAAACGTCTCAGGCAGAACGGGCCAGACCATCTCGCGCGCAACATTTTCGAGCCTCGCATTGCGAGGATGGCTCAATAGAAACGGGCTAGACCACCTCGCGAGCGACATCTTGGAGCTCAGTATTGGAAGGATGTCTCAAACGAAACGGGCCGGACAATCTCTCGCACACGTTCTTACAAGTCCACGTCTCACTCGCTTCCCGTTAGGTCCTCTCCTGCAACTCCCTTCCTTCTCCCTCTTCCTCCTCCTCCTTCCCCTCTTCCTGCCTGCTCCCTCATGCACATCATCCGCCTCCTCCTTCTCCCTTCCATCTCCTTCTCCTTCTCCTCCTCCTCCTCCTCCTCCTCCTCCTCCTCTTCCTCCTCCTCCACCTCCTTTTCATCCCGAGCGGCATCTCGGAGCCTAAAGTTGCGAGGATTTCTCCAGCGTAACGGGCTGGACCACCTCGCGCGCGGCATCTCGGACCCTAGAGTTGCGACGATGTCTCGGGCGAAACGTGCTGCGAGGAAGTCTCAGGCGAAACGGGCTGGACCACCTCGAGCGCGGCGTCTCAGAGCTCCGAGTTGCGGGGGCCTCCTCGGGCCTCCTGGGGAGGACCTGGGGTTTCCTCCTGGGCCTCCTGTGGCCTCCTGAACTTCACCTGGGGGGGGGCACAAGAGCAGGAAAAATCAACGAATCGACACCGGATGTGTATTAACTTGACACGTTCTGATAGGGGGCCTCCTGGGAGCCTCCTGGGCTCCTGGGAATCTCCTAGGACCCCTGGGGCCTGTCCTGGGCGTCCTGCGGCCTCCTGGAGCTCTCTGGGGCCTCCTGGGGCTCCCAGGGTCCCAAGGAGGATATGTGACATGTGGTCTTCTGGGCCCCCAGGCTGGAACACCTCTTGCGCGGCATCTGGGAGCTCAAAGTTGCGAGAATGTCTTGTGCGAAATAGGCCAGACCACCTTGCGCACGGCATCTCAGAGCTCAGAGTTGCGAGGATGGCTCAGGCGAGACGGGCCAGACCACCTCGCGCAGGGCATCTCAGAGCTCAGAAGTTCGAGGATGTCTCAGGCGGGCTCCCAGGGTCCCATGGAGGATATGTAACATGTGGTCTTCTGGGCCCCCAGCGCTCCTCAGGACGAAGCTCAGTTCTCTTTGTCGCAGTCTCCGGCTGAATATGGGCTAGAGCAGTCAAATATTGTTTCGATGCCAAATGGGGGTCAGATGAGCCCGAGTCGATCCTGCCTCTCGTGGAATTTGTCTGCGGTGCGGAGGGGCTTGAACCCGGCTTCACTCGCGCAGAAGTTGTGGTGGCGCTCACCCGCCCTAAAAATATCGGCAAATTTGACAATGTCGGGCGGTGCGCGCGTATGCACCACATGATTTTTAAATGTGACTCAGACCTCTGTGCTCGATACTTTAATGAATTAGCGGCCTCCAGCGCTGCCATGTCTGCTCTGGCAGTCTTGGGGCACGTGCGGGGGAAAGGCACCGCCACCCCGAACCCCACGCAGCTGCGTGCCATTATGCCCCTCCCGGCTGACCTCCAGGTGTTCGACTGTTTGGTTGCGCAGCATCTTAACACATGGGTCGACGAGAACACTGCTGTGCCACAGTGCTGCTGGGTTGGAGCCCGGCCGTTCACGCAAGCATTGGACATTACGCACGCCCTGACCTCATAATCGAAAGAGGCCTGGACGACCATAGCCAGTCCGCGGTCGCCCAAAGTGATATTGAAGCCTACTACGACTCTCTCCCCGTAGTGAGTATATTTTGCACTGGTGCGTCTCCAGAGGCATGCCCCGGGAGCTTGCGGCAGCAGCGGCTCGTCATCAGTTGTTCCCGAAAGTGAGCTTGCGCGTCGGTGACATAGATGCCGACCTGGGCAAACGATCTCGTGGAAGTCTCACTGGGAGCCGGGTAGCTGGCGCCCTGGGCCTCATCCCGGCGGAAGCCACGCTCGGCAAGATGTCCGAGGTCTGCCGGCGCCGTGGTTTTCAATTAGACCAGTCTGTGCATCTTGCCATCGCTACATACGTCGACAATGTCTATTCTGCAAGCCATACTTTGTATAATGCAACGTGCTTGCTGGACGAGTTTGAGGCCCGCATTCTCGCCGATTGGGGGCTCAAGATCAAGCATTCTAGTAAAGCTTGCATGGTGGCTGCAGGAGGCGACCCTTCCGTCTCGGACGCGTCCGTTTGGGCACCAGCCAACTCGTTTGAAGCTTTGGGCCACATCCTTGAGAATACCGGAGCGCGCACGATGTGTGTCGACAGGACCCTGGCCGCCATGTGGCGAGCATTTTGGGCAAACTGCTCACTGCATCGGTTGCGGGAGGTCCCTTTGCAACAGCGTCTGAAGCTGCTGGATCGGGCCGTACTTCCCGTGTTTGATTATCGATGCAGCCGATGGCCTCCGGCCGCCACCCTGGAAGGGCGCATTGACACTTGTCAGCGCCGCATGGTCGGCTTACTCATGCGAGTGCCGCGGCACGCCGGCGAACCGGCGCCGGATTACTTCCGCCGTAGGGCTAGCGAGGCCAAGGACTTGTGTCGCCAGAGACGTTGGTGGAGCCATCGTCATTGCTTCCGTGTCTTGGATTGGCGCGCGCACCTTGAGCGACCCCGGAACAGTCGTTCATGGGCGGCGGAGCTATTGCATTGGCAAGGTGAGCGGTGGCTCCAAGGCCGGAGGGCGCAACGCCACAGTTACAGCTTGCATGCTGGACGTACAGACACGAGGCTGGCAGCCCGTCGTCCACGACAGAGGTGGCACGATGGCGCTCGATATGCGTTGGAGCACGTGCCGCCTGGCTCGCACGCCATTCTCTACCCCAACGCCGTCCTCCCTTCCCCCTCAGCCGGACGTGGTCCGCGCCAGTTTTGAGTTTGTCTGCGTTGCTTTATCTTAGCGTAGTGCGCGTTCTGTGCATGCTGTCTGCGGTGACACCCCGCCATCTGATTCTGATTCTGATTCTGGGCCCCCAGGCTGGACCACCTCTTGCGCGGCATCTGGGAGCTCAGAATTGCGAGAATGTCTTGTGCGAAACCTTGCGCACGGCATCTCAGAGCTCAGAGTTGCGAGGATGTCTCAGGCGAGACAGGCCGGACCACCTCGCGCAGGGCATCTCAGAACTCAGAAGTTCGAGGATGTCTCAGGTGAAACGGGCCGGACCACCTCTCGCGCGACATCTCCGAGGTCAGAGTTTCGAGGATGTCTCAGGCGAAACGGGCCAGACCACCTCGCGCAAGGCATCTCAGAGTTCAGTGTTTCGAGGATGTCTCAGGCGAAACGGCCCGGACCACCTCTCGCACGGCACCTCGGGGCTCAGAGTTTCGAGGATGTCTCATGCGAAACGGCCCGGACCACCTCTCGCGCGGCGTCCCAGAGCGCAACTTTTCGAGGATGTCTCAGGCGAAACGGCCAATCCCAGCCAACTCAGAAACGAGAGTTGTGAGGAAGTCTCAAGCGAAACGGCCCAGACCATCAAATTTTTGTGAGGATGTCGCTGCTTCCCCTTCCCTCGGCCGGAGTTAGCTTCTATCACAACAGCGCCCCGTTCAGCAAGCTGTTTGGGGAATTTGCAAGAGGTTCACGGATTCAGGGCGGGCCGTTTTCAAAATGTGGCTTTCGCCTTGGCACCGCGCATTTTCTCTTTCAGAATTTGCAAGAGTTTCACGGATTGAGGGCGGGTCGTTTTCAAAATGTGGCTCTCGCCTTGGCGCCACCCACGCTCGTTTTAACAATGTGCAAGAGGTTCACGGATTGAGGGCGGGGCTTTTTCAAAATGTGGGTCTCGCCTTAGCGCCGCGCACGCTCGCGTTAACAATTCGCAAAAGCTTCACGGATTGAGGGCGGGGCTTTTTCAAAATGTGGCTCTCGCTTCGGCGCTGCGCATATTCGTTTTCAAAATTTATTCAATCGCTTCGCTCATTCCGCCGGCCCATATTGCGCATCGCGGTCGACTGGCTGAGAGGTCGTCGGCAGTGCGGGGCTGCAGGGGGCGGCGTTTTTTTTCCTGAGGCGTTGTTTTCGGCATGTTTGTGTTGAAGCGGCCCCCGTGGAACAGCGTCGTGTCGATTCGTGGCGAACCTCTGAGGAGGTGTCGGGGGAATCGTTTTTTCACGGGGTTTCTAGGTTGTGCCGTCCTGGGTTGTGTCCTGGCGATATTTGGGGCCTCTTGGGGGTATTTTTGGGGCCTCTTGGGGCCTCTTGGGGGCCTCTTGGGAGCCTCTTGGGGTTCCTTGGCGGCGTATTGTGGGCCCCTGCCGCCTCTTGGGTGGCTCTTGGGGGCCTCTTGGGTCAGGAGGGGGGGTAGTCGATTGCGCCCCTCCCCTCGGAGGCCACGATCCTCGTGAGGGGTGTCGACAAATTGCCTAGACTGGCATCTCTGATCCGAGTGTCCCAGGGGTGTCCTGGGTCCGGGGACCCCCAGGGGCGGCCCCGCGCGCGCGAACTAGAATATTGTTAACCAGTTACCAGAGATCTTAGCACGCCCTTGGCCCGTTGGGCCGGCGAATTAGAGCATCACGGATTGAGGGCTGGGCGTTTTCAAAATGTGGCTCTCGCTTTAGCGTTGCGTGCATTCGTTTTAAAAAATTGCAAGAGCTTTCCGGATTGAGGGCTGGCGTTTTCAAAATGTGGTTCTCGCTTTAGCGCCGCGCACATTCTTTTTCAACATTCTCAAGGGTTTCACGGATACCCATGATCAAATTACCAGAAATGGTGTTTTGGACGGATTCAGGATTATGTGGGTGCAATAGTTCTGCTGATTCGCGGTGTTGAGGTTCCAACCATGGCGTTATGGCACGATTCCAGATCGCCAAGACGCAGCAGTCAGGTTGATAATACGTGGCCTTGAAATCTCGAGAACGAGGTTTTGGCATGCTTCAGGATCTTCAAACGGTTGTCTTCCAACGGGCAGTTCCCTCAGGGGGCCTATGAAAGGGGAACTTCGAGGGAGGGTTGTCTCCGACATCGTTGATGACTCTTGGGTTTACACTAGTCCTCCTCCTCCTGCTCCTGCTCCTCCTCCCTCCCTCCCTCCTTCCCTCCCTCCCTCCCTCGCTCCGTCCTCCCTCCATTCTCGTTCTCCGCTCTTCGTCCTCTCCTCCTTCTCTTTCTCCTCCTCTTCTTCTTTTTTTTCTTCTTCTTCTTCTTCCTCCTCCTCTTCTTCTTCCTCCTCCTCCCTCTCTCCTTCCTATTCCTCCTCCTCCTCCTCGTCCCCCCTCCAGGTTTCCCTCTCCGCCCCCATCCTTTTCCTCTACCTCCTCCGCCTCCTCCTGCTCGAGATATCGCCTCCTCCTCTTCCTCCTCTTTTTTTCTTTTGCGTTCGGCAGACTTTGAGCAGAGTTCGCAGCGTCGTGTAGCATGATTCTTATGTGCCAATGAGAAAAGAGGCCCAAAGGAAATCACTTGCAACTCACAAATTCGCCGGCTCGGCGGGCCGAAGGTGTGCTAAAATCTCCGGTAAGAGCTGTAGAACACTTCTAATGTGCGCGCGCGTGGTTGCCCCTGGGGGTCCCTGGGTGACGAGTAACCCATGTAAAGCCCGGGCGTTCCCCGTCACAGGTTCCAGTATTCTTGGGGGCTGCTTGCAGGGCCTTCAAGATCGTCTCAAGAGGCCCCCAAAGCGGTCTAAAAGGGCACATGTCACCGGAAGACCCCAAACGGCCTCCAGATAGCCCAAGATTGCCTCCAGATGGCTTCAGCCGCGTCCAAGACGTCTGAAGATGCTTGCAAAACAACTCCCAAGAAGCCCCCCAGAGGCAAAATTCAACGATTCCCAGTTCTTTGAAGGTTTTCAGCGTTCTCACCTTTTCGGCCGCTGACGCTCTAAGACGGCCCAAGAAGCCCTTAAGATCGCTCCAAGACGGCCCATTAAGTCTTCAAGAAAGCCCCAAAACAAGTTTCTCCCAAGACGGCGATGGAGAGGTTTAAGACATTTTCAGGAAGAACCTTCGATCGGGGAGCCCCAACGAACATTTCGAGCGTTCGGGTTCAAAATCGCCTCCAGAGCCCCCACCAGATCTCCGAAAAGCTCTCAATAGGCCTTTGGCCTCCAAATCGCCCTCCTCTTCCTCCTCCTCCTCCTGGTCCTCTCCTCCTCCTCCGACTCCGACTCGGGGGGCCAGGAGGCTGCCTGGCTGCAGTGGAGGCGGCCGCCAGCAAGGAAAGAGAGGGCGAGATGGCGTCGAGGCTCCCAGCTCGTGGGTCTCCTGCGTTTCCGTCGGCTCTCGGCGTGAATTTCCTGCCTCGGGGCGCTCTCCTGCGGCTGCTCCCCGCAGAAAGCGCCTCGGGGGGTGCCCGACTCGCCCCGAGCGGCCGTCAGAGAGCCATTCTTCAGGAGGAAAAGAAACACACAGACACAATTAATCCTCGATTCCCCAGAAAATATGGGAAAATATAGGAAGTGGGGGGGAAGACAGAAACCCAGAAACTATGGGAAAATATGCGGAATCTTTTTATTTGTGTGTATTTATTTGTGTGTCCTGGGGCCCCTTCAATTCTGGGGGTCGAGCCTGGATCTCGGATAACAGAGGCGTCCAGAATGGGTGGGACACATGCCGCTAGAATCTAGAATGGAGGTAGGGGGACGGAGGTCTTGAGGGAGGCCTGTCGATCGAAGAGTTCACATGCGCACGGAGGACATGCCAATGTTCGGATTTCCACCAAGTATACATCTGAATGTACGTATACGTGTGTACATATCAGTATATACATACCGATGTGCATGTAGATGCGTATACATCCATATATGTATACACGTTCACCAGGGTCATCCCAGGGGCGCGAAGACAATCGCGGTTCGCGCGGCGCGGCCCGGGTCACAGCGGCTGCTTTTCTCCATGGGGGCGACACGAGGGCGCACAGGTAAGCGCGCATCGCGGGGCGCGCCTCCTCTTTTCTTCCTCTTCATTTCCCCAGGGACCCCCTCAGACGCACAAGAGCTCGTCCCAGCAAAGACAGCTTCCCCTTGCTCTCTCCTGACCCCTCTCCGCCGACGACGGCGACGACGGACGTCGACAGGAGACGATGACGACGACGACGGTGGCGGCGGCGGCGGGGACGATCACGGCGCGACGGCGGCGGCGACGGACGACGGGCGACGGACGACGGGCGACGGACGATGGACGACGGACGACGGGCGACGGACGACGGACGACGGACGTCGGCGGCGTCGGCGGCGTCGGCGGCGGCGAGGACGACGGCGGCGACGGCGGCGGCAGCGGCAGCAGGGACGCCAGGATATGCGCCGCCCTGGGCATGCCGCCCTCCAGCGTGGCGGCCGCCGCCGCGGCGCTGGGGAAGGCCCTTTTTCTGGTCTCCTGCGCCAGTCTCCCCCTCGTCCTCCTCCTCCTCCTCCTCCTCCTCCTCCTCCTCCTCCTCCGCCTCCCCTTCCTCCTCGCCGAGGAAGCGCGAACATGTAGTACTGCGCGTGGGTCAAGGTCACCCCCGGGGGCGCGAAGGCAACCGCGCATCGCGGGGCGCGGTGCGCGAAGTTGTGTGACCCAAGTGGATTAGCGACGGGTCTCGGCTGCATGCAACAATCGGCGCGCACGGCGCGCACAATCGCCAGATCGGGCGGCGCTGGCTTCACGCTTCGGGGGACCGCTTTCCTCCCCTCGCAACGTACCAGATTCACAGATCTGTGATCCATGTCGTGTCCGTTGCTCCTCTAGCCTCCTCATTGGGGTCCTCCCCCCTTGCCCCCCCGCAGTCACCCCTCCTCCTCCTCCTCCTCCTCCTCCTCCTCCTCCTCCTCCTCCTCCTCCTCCTTCCCTCCTCCCCTCCTCCTCTTCCTCCTCCTTCAATCGTCCGACCGCGAGCAGCGCGGCCTTGGCTCGAGGGTGTCGGGGAGGCGAGGGAGGGCGTGCCCAAGGGATCGACCCAAGCCAAACATTCGCCTCAGGCCTCCTGCCTATTTGAACCCCTTGGGCTTTGGGCCTGCTAGGGGAGTTCGGGGCCTGCCCTGGGAGGGAGAGGGATGGGCGCCTGACCGAGGTGGGCGCCATGCCGGCTAGGCCCGCGTCCCGAACCTTTCCCGGTCCTGAATGTTGTTGCTTGCTTCCTTTTTCTCGCCCTCCTCCGTCGTGCCACGCCCGCTTGCCCATCTTTGTTTTTCCATTTCCCTCGCAATCAGTTCAGTCTCGTCGTCGCCGCTGCTCCGATGTCAAGAGCTCTGGCCGGGCCCCGCTGTAAAGCCAGGGCGCTCCGAAGCTCGCCCGCCGCGGGGCCCTGCTGTGATCGGAGGATGCGAAGTCCGTACGGGGTAAGTCCGTACGGAGTGTTCGGTCTCCCTTTGGGCTTTCTCCATCTAGACTTTACTCCTCCTGGTAGGATGCCAAGTCTGTACGGATTAAGTCCGCACGGATTGCTCGGCCTCCGTCTGGGTTTACTCCGTCTGGGCTTTGGCTCTCCTAATCTGAAGCGGGTCGCCAGCCCCATTCACAGGGTGGGCACCCGAACTCGCTCACGTTTGGACAGGCGGCTACGTCATCATGTCCGAAGGACAGGGACAAATCGCTCCAGAGCGTTCCAGAACCAGGGCGTTCCAGAGCGCTCTGGAACGGCCACGGCGCCCGATACATCCTCCAGAACCGCCCGATCTCAGAGATTCCAGGTTGATCCATGTTTCATTTTGTGCCGGTTCTGGCTTCGTCTGACCAAAGCTGTCCCAAATGCAGATTTGGCAGGGCGCCATGCGCCGCGCGCCGGAATGAGTTTTGCGGGTTGCGGTTGTGCAAGAGCTTCAAAAAAACAAAACGACAACGTCGTCGGTCGTCGTCGTCGCCGTCGACGACGTCGACGTCCGTGGTCGACGTCCGTGTCCGCGTCGGCACCTGGCCTCGTCGGCGGGCACTCGTCCGTGTCCGCGCCGATGCCCGTGTCCGCGTCGGCCCCGTGTCCGTCGCCCACGTCCGTGTCCTTTGACGCCCGTCGTCGACGGTCTTCGGCGCCGCGGCCGTCGCCAGCGGCGCCCGTCGCCGTCGGTGCACGCCGGTGCCCGGCGGCGGCCGCCGCCGAGCGCAGAGCGCAGAGCGCGCGGAGCCCGGCCGCGGGTGCGCCCGCCGAGGCCGAGGCCGCGTGCGCCGCGGGCCCGGCCGCCGCCGGCCGCGGCGCGGCGGCGGCCTCTGCAGGCGAGGGGGGGGGGGTGCAGTGGCTCCTGGGCCTCCAGGGCAGTGCGGGGGCGTCCAGGAGGGTCGGGGCGAAGGAGGAGGGGGGGGGGAGGGGGAAAGGGGGGGGGTACGAGATTTGCCGCGTGCAGCTGGTTTCGGCCCCACCGAGGGGCCCATTCCTCGATGCATAGCCGCCTCCGGCGCCGGGAGGCGCCGGGAAGATCAGCTACGTGAGCTGATTCTGAAGCCCCCCCGTTTGCTATCCCCCCTTTTCGCCCGGCCCGAGAGGGGGGTGACGACATGGGGGGGTGGACATCATGGCCGGGGCCATGATACCTGTCCAGATTTCATGGCATGGCCCCTCTTCCTGTTTCAATCATGTCCCCTGGCGCCCCCCGAGGGCGGTCGTTCGTTCCATTCTAGGCCTCCCATCTGGGGTCCCAGTAGATGGACTCGAGGGGGCGTTCCGCTTCGTCGATGCATCGGCGATGTGGCTCGAAGTGGAGCCAGAGTTTCTCCACGCCGACGTCGCCGATGCATCGCCGACGTCGCCGATGCCGCGCGATCCCTCGACCCCATCTACTCGGGCCCCGTTTGCGAGGCCTCTATTCCCATACCTCCAACGTGATGAAAATTCCTCCAGCAAAGCACCCTGATCGCAGCAAGGAATGAGGAGGCGGGTCGAGGAGTAGGGGGTCGGCTGTACGAGGACAGTCATGGGGGCACGGCCGTGTGCACCTCGGTGTATTCTTGACGCTTCGCCGTAGGCGGCCTCGCCCGCGCGTGTTAATTTGATCGGCCCGTGGCCCGGACCTTTCAACTCGGCGCCTGCGCTTTCGCCGGCGCCCGCGAGGAAAAAGTGATCCCCACCAGCCCAACTGGCCGACCGTCCGCGACAAGTTCGCCCACCGTGCTAAGGGTAAAGGTGCCTCCACCAGAGGCAAAGGCAAAGGCAAAGGCAAAGGGCAATGGGGCGACGGCGCCTCTCGCCGGGCAAGCCACGGGGACTCTGGTTGGGCCGCAAGCTCGCACCAGCCCTGGGCGTAACACCTGGCCCCCCTCCCACACACCACCGCCCTCGCATGGGCCCCATCTGCGACAGCGGGGCCCTCCCTTCCCCGGGGCACGTTTCCGACTGCCCCGACGGAGGTGCCTGCCTTATCGCTCTGCCGTCGCCACCGTCTCCAATGGGCGCCAGCCTCTGAGTGCCATCGAACGGCGGAGTCAGGCTTAGGCGTCTCATGACTCGCCTAGGCCTACCTCCCACCCGCGCCAACCCTACGGGGGGACCCCCAGTGGGCCACCCTGGCTTCGCGCCTAATACCGCTTCGGACGCGCCAAGCTGGTGATGCTGGCTCGCCCCTGGCCCCCAGGTGA